AGACACGCTGTCACCAGCCACTGCAGATCAGCAGGCTCCTGGCCATGCTTAAAGCATTAAATGCAGTCTTGCTCCCTGCAGACCTCTTTACAGCTTTTCCTAGGTTGCTGTTAAATAAGGCCTCAGATCCTAGTCCGCATGTAATCTATGTCTGCCTTTTCTGTGTTATTTCTTTCCAGTTCACCTGGCATAACTAAAAGCCAATTGCATTTTGGTCCATCGATAACAAGATTCTTGCAGTCCCGTGTCTTGCTCAGCATCCTCCTAGACAAGCTGGGACAGCCAGCTCAGGACAGCCAGAGGAATTGAGCAAAAGCAAGAGAGCAAAAAACTCCTCGTTAGAGGATACGCTAGGTACCCCCTGACAACACCGCTCAAGAAAGTAAACGAGCTCAGGAGAGGAACCTTCTCGCCAGGCAGATTCGCAGTGGCTGCTAGGTCACATGAGGCTAAATCCATCTAGAAGGCTGTCCTCTTCACGGAGCAGAGCAACAATGAGGAGGAGCATGGGGGAGAGGGGGTTGCGCTGCCCCCAGATTTGCTGTCTGGGGTACAGGGATGGCACTCCTTCCAGGAGGGTGGCAGGGGCACCCACCCTCAGAACATGACAGGGGAGGGCAGGCTAAAGCCAGGCGCTGCGGGAGACTCTCAGGCCCAGTTTAGCTTTCAGCATTTGGTACCTGTCACAAAGGGCTGTGTGAAGCAGCAGTCTTCTGGCTTCTGATTTTCTTTGGGCTGACCGTATTGGAAAGCCCAGGCCTAGAGCAACTCCTGCTTTGTGTTCCTGCCACAGGAAGCGAAGTCCCAGTCTGGCACGCAGAGCTCTGGGGAGCAGAAATTAATCTGTGATGTCCCCCGGAGGCAAAGAGAGAGCTGGGAGGCACTAAAACTCGATCCCACCATCTCGTTATGGTATGATTTGGGAAAGGCAATACAAGGATACATCTCGCTGTGGAGCTGGAAGTGCAGACAGGTTTTTTTTGTCTTTAGGTTGTGTAAAGGAGACAAAAGTAACAATGTCATTTTCCAGTTTCACTCTCCTACCACGTAATAACTGAAGCAGCCTGACTTTTTTCCCTGCATTAGCCCTAGAATTGCAGTTTTCTGAGGCTTCTAATGCTGGGTTCAGGAAGGGAGGGAGGTAGCTTTGCCTCACCAGCTTTCTTTGTGCCATCCCTAGCTCCTTTGCCACTCTGCTTGGGGTCAAAGAGTTTCCAGTCACCATCTTACACATAGACCTTCCCTCACAAAGGCTCTTGGGGGGAAAAATGTGGCACTGGCATGTGCCGGTGGCACAAGGCCAGCAGCACCGGCGCTGGCAATAAACACATCAGGATGGCCTGTGGATTTGTTCACATGAGCATGTTCTGGGCTTTCTAACGTAGATCAAAACAACTATTGTACCCTGGGGCAAATGAAATGCCAGCGAGCACTTTTGTCTTCTTCAAAGCTTTATTTTCTTAAGGGTAAGATGCCCAATACCTCTGCTGAAGTCAGACATGGCTTTTTTTGCTGTCGGCTGCTTGGATATGGTAGGAAAGCAAGAAAGCAGATGTTGAAAAGACAGCTCAAATCAGCATTAAAATCAGGCACATGGAAAAGTGCTTTTAAATACTCAATAAGATAGAAAAGAAAAAGAAAAGGCTATCAGAGATACCCACAAAAGCTAAAAAAATCCTTGGGGCACATGTGACACTGCAAAATCCTACAGGTCTGCAGCCCACCAGTCTAACTTGACTTCTCTGCAGTCCACCCTCTCAAGTTAACTGCTTTGTAGGAGGTAAATCCACCTGAAAAATTAATCCTGGAGACAAGAGGAGTGGCTGAGCTCCCAAAAAGCGAAACATTTCCAAAGACAATTTGCAAGATTTTCAGCCAAGTCCTCGCATCTTTGTTGCCCACGGGCTTACTATTGTTCATGTGATGTCTGGTCTGTGCTCTTTTAACAGTACTTCTACCACTTCTCAATGTCATCTCCTCGCTTTTTGGAGGAGGAATTGTCTGGGGTTTGTCCTTTTGGGAAGAGAAAGGAGGGAAGTTGGCAAATTAAAATGCATAATGAAGGCTTCCCTTTTTAGCACTTAAGACCAGCCCCACTTCTTCCGTAAGTGCTTTGTTATTATTTAACCAAGATGACTGGAAATGAAGCCTCAGACCAGCTAAAATTCTTACTCCTACTCCTCCTCCTGCTGCAAAAAGACCCTAGAAACCATCTGCAGGCCACTAAACACAACAGGTATTTTTCTCTGATATCAGAGCTGTCCGGTCAGCTTTTTCTTTATTCCCAGGGCAAATATGACCTTTCTGTGTACCACCCTGGCTGAGGAAGCTCTTAAGCCCCTTGTTCGGCTCTAGCATGGCAGGAGATAACCTTTCTTTACCACCTCCCGATCTCCGCAGCTCTCCAAGATGTGGTGGGGAACAGAGCAATACACCTACGCTGAGTCTTTTAATACAGACGGCTGGTAAGTCGGGTTTCAGTGTACACTTCCCAAAAATCATATGGCTTTTGAGTCAGTCACATCAGCAACGCCACCCTTCCCTTTGCATTTGGACTCCTACGTACACCACGGCTTCCTGCACAGCCAGAGTTCGTTTGCAGAAGGCATCAACATCATGATCTTGGGTCACGAAGAATTAAGTTGACAGGGTGTTTTTAATTGTCACAGTCATACCTACTGGCACGGACTCTCCGTGGAGTGCATGAAGCAGGTATTGAGTCTGTCTGAGTGGCTTTGTGCTTCTCCCATCTCTGATTACCTCTGATGCCCCCCCAAAACACTCTGCCTAAAAAGCTCTGAAGTTCACTTGCCAATGTCATTTAAAATGGACAACTACAAGCTGTGGTTTGTTTCACCCTGTCTATACCAACCTTCCCGGTTCTGACACTAAAATGAAACCCAGGTGGCAGCAGAGAAAAATTCTGACTTGACTCCCACACCCAGAATACATACAGTTTTACACCAACCATTCAAGGAATTATAGGGCCAACAGCATCCACGTCATTAGGAAAAAACAGAGTATTTTAATACCGTTAATTTATTTAACACCAGCTTTTACCTTTACGTCAGCTGCAGCAAACCTGTTGTTTTTTAGAAAGCCCTGATTTCACTCTCAGGGACGACAATGCATCACACATCAGCCTGTTTGGAGCTGCAACATCTGTCAGCGGAGGGTTGAAGAGGGGAAGGCCCCGAGACGACAGTTACCGAAACGCACACGTCCGAGAGGGAGCCGGGTGGGTGTTCTTGACTGAGAACATGTCAGCTGAGAGAGGGAGCAGCAGAAAGGAAATGAGACACAAGGCAGGAGGTCCAGAGAGAAAGAGGTACGCCTCCTCAGCTTCGCCTCCACGTGTAAGCTCAGTCAAGCTTTGTATAAAAGGGATGATGTACGGTCAGCTGCATGACGTATCATTTCTTAGAAGGTCGCGTCTTTCTTTCCTGCGCTAGAATACTTGTCTGCTTTTATTAGCTCCATGTTGCAAAAGTAATAATGTCACATGTTAATGTCCTGGAAATAAAATCTGAAGATTATTCAACAGAGCCTCAGGTAACAGCAAAGGCTCGAGTAATTCATATTCAAAAATAATTGATTTTCAGTGGTTCATTGTACTATACATGTTAAATTCTTGGGTATAGCACAAAGATTGCAACATACAGCATCACGGTGACATGCAATCAAGCCATAACAGTGCAGTTTATTACAACTGTGTAAACAAAAAGAAGTATTTCTGTAATGGCACTCTTCGTGAACCGAACTCTGGCACACAGAATCTCAGCAGAAGTCAAAAAAAAACATTTACTAAGAAAAGAAAACCCCAAACTGAAGCACAGTACATGAACCTGGCCAAAATGGCCGAATCCACATTTCGTAAGAGAAAAAAGTGTCCTCAGAATTTTTGGTTGCTTGCTTTTAAGGAAATTCAATCTGATTTTATTTTTCAAGGCATCTCTCCAGCACGTGAAATATTTTTACTGTTATTGAATGATATGAACAACAAGTAAACATCTCTTAATTAAGACCATGCGAATACTTCCCACCATGACATTAGGAGACAAGAGATGATTTGGGAATGTTATTATCTGTATAACATGACACTTGCAGAAGATATTCCTTAGGAAATGAAAACAAGTTACTGAGAAATAAAATCCATCAAAGAAACTTCAAGAAACTTATTTTGTGGGTAAACAGCTAAGAGAAAAAGTAGTATCATACTTTCCTGTAAAAGAAGTGATTTGATTATAAGACAATGTACATACTGCAAACTGTACGATGTGGCTTGAACCCGAAATACACTCATCTCAAATAGATTTTAAATATTAGCACCTAAGAGGTAACTCTGGGATTTAAACAATTTTGGTAGCTTCCAGGTCATGCATTCGTTACAGCTTGCTGACAGACACGATCTTGCCAGCAACCTTTCGGTGTTCCGCGAGATCCTCTTAATAAAAACACACAGGACGGGATGCCACTACATTTTACACGTGTACCTTCCACATGGGATGTTTTGCATATGTTCCACCTGCAGAGAGCAGGCCCCGCAGTAGCGGGAGGTATAGACAGAGTAAAGAAGTTACAGTTATTAAAAAATAGTAGAAAACTGGGAGTACATGACAGAATTACAAGCTGGTATCTTGGGTTTACAGAAAGCTATGAATTTGCTTGTTTAAAAAAAAGACATTCAACATGTGCTTCCTCACATGCTGAGTTCATGCACACGATTGAAAAAAAAAAAACCCACCTTATAAATTTTACCCTTCAGAAATGCTGCATATACTTCATCCGCAGATAAACCAAAGCCCCCCCAGGAACAACAGGGACCTAACGTGCAGATCGACTCAAGCAACACTTAATTACTTCCTCTGCAAGGAGAAGTGACCAGCAGTATCACACAGGAAATTTCAGTGAGTCGTACTTCATTCCAAACACTGTTTAGTCCAAATCCAGGTTCCCTTGTCATTAAGCAGTAAGACTCCTTTTAAAAACAAAACAAAAAGTTATTTTCTTGGAGGAAGGACATTTTCTTCGTAATAGCCTGGATTTACTACATTTCCAGCTGGATCATATCTAGCCACCACAAACGTTGAGCCATCACTAGCAGATGCTTTTCCGACTCCCATCTTTTTTGTGTTCTTCCAAACCATTGCTGTGAAGTGACCTGAATAAAGAGAGATACACACACGCATTTATCCATTTGAGGCACTCCACCTACGGTGCTCCCTTTAACACATGGAGGGGATGGGGGGAGAGAGAACAATACACAACTGTTTCTTTCTCTAACGGGAGAACAAGGTGAAGACATGAAAAGAAAACTACATCCAGCATTTTGTCCTGAAAAAGCCTGATCTGATCTAGTTCCACACTACTATTCCCATTTCCATGTCCTATATCCCAGTAAGAACACCCAGTAAGAGAATTATGGAAGAAGTAGTTTGACGAGTATCTGACATTGAATTTGACAAAGATATCACAGTCTTTACCCCCTGCAGTCTGAACAGCAGTTTTGACAGGGACTATTATTCATGTGCTTTGACCATCTCACACTCCCCCGTGCGTCTGCATGTGCAACTGTGCAAAATAATACTGGGTTTGTGGCTGCTCCTGCCTTGTTGTAATAGTCACCCCTGCATTGCGCTACCCCAGGAGTCATTCCCTCTGTTCATACACAAATCCCATGGGAGAAAAATTGATATGCTTCATCTGAAACAAGCTCAGGCATATCTCTTGCTTGAGCATTATTCAAGGAATGATGTGCTTATGTTCATTCAACCCCAGATTGTTTATATGCAGTCAGTGGCCTGTTCCTGATCTCCAAGTGATACCTGAAGGGATCTCTGTGGTTGGAGTGATATCATTTGGTAGAAGACACATGTCAATGTAAACAACAGCATAGTATATATAGTAAGACAGTCCCTCCCAACCCAAACCATTCTATAATTCTGTGATTCCAATTTAGTATTTTCTACAAATTCATTTGCCTTAAAAATAAATTACTTATTAAAAACTTTGGAGTTGGAGAAAAATACAGTATTAAAAAAAAAAAAAACAAACCAAAACCAAAAATTTTGCTCACTTCATTTCTCAGTTTCCTTTCACCCTCCTGTCAGTTTCTAACATAAAACTTAGAGGAAATTCTAATCTTTTTTCCCCTCTATTTTTTTTAAGAAAAAAAAAGGTAGATTTTTGAAAAACATCAAGAGAAAATTGGCTAGCTAATTTCTTAAAACAAAAGCTGCACTTTTAAAGAGACAGTGCACCAACTGAACTTACCTGTCCCAGAAGAAAACCCCGGGTTTTGAAAGCTGTAATTTTTTATTTCACTGTACCATCTGTCAGCCACATCCTTTCCTGAAACGACAAAAGAAATCTGCCGTGGACTCATGACAGGTAACCTAAACATGAAAGTGGAGCTCGCATGTAGCCTGGCCAGCAAGATCTTCTGCTAATAGCTGGCAAGAACTGTGCAACTTAACTCCTAGAAACGTGGAGAAACAGCGTTTTCACTGGAGAGAGTTTTGGAAACATAGGTAACATGGCAGCACATGTAACTTACCAAATATTTGTCGTTTCACAATAGCTGTTGCTACTCAGTTACTAATTAGCCGGATGCTTTTTGTTAAGCACCTCATGCCATGGATGTCATCAGACTTGAGTTCTGCTTGGTGCAAGCAGAGTCTGCCAGCCTCTCCACAGGAGTGCCAGGGAGAGTGTGGCTGGCATAGCCTGGCTCACAGCCTGGGCAGGTGACCCACGAAACAGCAGCTGTAGAATCAGGTAGAGTTCATCCTACTGGAGGACAATCCCATTCCCATGTGCAGCAAGGTGCTCGTCTGTGTTAGGATGGAGATGATGAAGAATCATCTACACTATCACCAACAGATCAGAGAACAGGACCAGCCACCAATTCTTGCCTGTGGTCAAAACTTCACAACGCTGAAGTCAGAAAAAACTTTGGAGAAGAGATGTCTGTGTGGCACAGGATTTGCACTGAGATGGGGCAGAAATCCCTTTAGTCCTCAAATAAATCATCTGGCAATTTAACTCATGGAGTTTACATCTTTTTCCGCCCAGGCAGTAGCGAAGACACGTCTCCTTCACCTTGGATCCTGTCATTAGGGTTCCACATACAGCTTTCACCAGCTCCTCCCTCTTGGAAAGCGTTTGACAAAAAAGTAGGCAAGCCTTGACAGATTTTCTAAGCAAAAGGGGCACAGGGAATTTTTCTACAGGGAGGCCTCCTCACCTGTGGATCCAGGAGCATGAGGATACCTCCTTACAGCTCCAAGCAAACCAAAGAACGATGACACTTCTGACCTCCTCTAGTTTTCCGTGTCCTCGTTTAACACTTCAAATTTCTGAGCGCATTTCTTTTTAACTGTTCGTTCTTAGCACTTGAGCCACTGTGGACGTCCACTCTGAGGCACTGTAACTCAGGGTACTACAGTCAGACACCTCAAGCATGCCTGCCCAGGAGCTGCTGCTGTCTGGAAGTCTGTGTGTCCAGCGCCGGCTGATCTCACCAACAGCTTTCACAGACAACGGCTGTAGAAGGACTATGGCCAGTCATGTAGCACTTTTTCGTTTGGGGGTCTTTAAGGTTTGCCAAAGAAATATTCCTTAGAATCATAGAATCATAGAATCATAGAATGGTTAGGGTTGGAAGGGACCTTAAAGATCATCTAGTTCCAACCCCCCTGTCATGGGCAGGGACACCTTCCACTAGACCAAGTTGCTCAAAGCCACCTTGTTTTCTTTATTTCTTTATTTTTTTATTTCCTTATTTTTCTTTATTCTTTATTTCTTTCTTTATTCCTTGTTTTCTGTTGAACAGTTAAGGAACCCAATAGAAAGGAGGAGATTCTGATAATCTGCAATGGATCCGGTGGAACAGGCAGCTCGCAGGGCAGGAGCTCAGCCCAGAACTTGCAGATGCTATGTACTCCAAAGTCAAACATTACTTCTTTTCCATGACTGGTTGTTAGGAAATTCTTGCATCAAACATTGTTGGGGGGAGGCACGGGGGCAGGTTTTTCCCTGAGCTACACCAATAATGAAATTTCTGCTTAGCATTCCAGGACGTACAACGCAGGGCCAGTGGCTTTCACAGCACGCTGCCAACGCCGTTAAGCCTATCGCCATGAAGAACGCTGGTCCCTCATGCACTGCTGGCTGCAGAACAGCAGTGACTCATGTTTTGCTATTTTGCAGCAAGAAGTCTTAAACTTGCACTGTTCTAGAAGTCAGACACTGAGCTGTTGCTCCTTTCAACGTCAATTGCTTGAGTGCAGTCTGCTAAAAGGATGTTAGCCCAGCACTGTCACGGAAAAGGCGGCACTGAATGAAATGCCACGTCTTGAGAGGTTTCTGAAGTGAAAGTACAACGAACTCATCTATGAAACACTGCTTCTTAGGAATGGTGCTCTCTTAGTAGAGTCAATTTACATTTTCTACATAAAAAGGTAGCAAAACCTCTTGCTTCCCCAAGTAAATGTTTCAGGAATAACAATAGATTCTTTCTTTCCCTGCTCCCTGTGCCAAGCAAAAACAAACCCTGTAGACTTGTTTTATGGCTCAGGACTGTAACACAAACAAATGCTTCTTCATTTGTTACTCACACTAAAGCTAAAATGAAGACTGAAAAAAGCGCAAGGAGCCATCTGCATGCAGTGCAAGGGGAAAAGAGAAAGCACATAGTAAAAAAAAAACCCAAACCCCAAGCAGATGATGCTGTCCCACCCTAGACTTCAAACCTATGAAGGATTCCGATGTGTTTGTGGCAAGCTGAGTGGAAGAGAAACACAGAGCGTGACTGCAGACATGTCCGACCTCATGAAGCACATGCATTTTATGTGTACAGGTGCCTAAGTGACTATGCCATGTAAGCAGCATTTTTACAGATGCAGGACTACACTTACTTCACCCCTTCTGTTAACGTATCAGTGTAACACAGCATACAGAGTAGTTCAAGAGAAAGTCATTCCCGCTCTGTTCGCTGCAGCTCTAAGAACTGTACCTTGGATCCATGTGACAAGAACTTACATTCTCCATCACAGAAATACTGCAGGACACATGGAAGTTTTGACAGTCTCTCTTCATCATTATTATTTTTTAAATTTAAATAATACCATCATGTGAAAATTTGATAATTCTTTAATTCAAGAGAGAGGGCAATGGAGTCAGGTAAGAATACCTCAATCCTGTACATGAAAGCAGGGGGCACAGTGGAGTAGCACAATCCATGCTAATTCCCAGCCTTCGCAGACGAAAGCTTGCAACTTCCTGCAGCTGGGCAGTGAAAGCCTGGAAGCTGATAGCTATTGCTCCATGTATTCATGTGCAGGATCAGGTTATCGTTAATACGGCACTGCTGTCATCCTCCTTGAATGCAAAGAGTCATTGCATCATAGGCTGTGAGAAATTAAAGACTGACTTGTTCCTGGCAGAAGAGAAGGTGACCAAAGGACGAAGCAATTTCTGATGGACTCTGTCCTGAAATCACTTAAAAGAAGCGTCGTGAAAGTGAAGGGAATTAGTTGTAACTGGCATCTGTCACAGGGGGTGAGGGGGGTCCTATGCGGAAGTTATTACCACGCAAGAAGACAGGCACCTTAGTGAGTAAACATGCTCTTCCCTCTGAAACACTTTTCTTCTGATTCTTTGTCCCGTGGGGAGCAGCCAACCATGTGGTGGTGGGACACAAGCTAAACCAGCGCTGGAAGGGATACACAGGGGCCTAAGGGAAAACTCCGTGCTGAGCCCAGTGACCTCCAGCTTCCCAAAGCCCACAGAAAGCGACCCGAGAGAGAACAGCAGAGGAGCCAGCGGAGCAGTGATCCTACCTGCTTTAGCGGCAACCTGCACCCTTGCTGGTGCAGAGAACTGAACTCAGTATTTCCATTTCGATTTATTATGGAATTAGTGATGCAGTAACACGGTGTCCGTTTCCCTTGCATTTCAATGGCTCATTGAAAACAGCTCCCACTCCCCCCTCTACCAAACCTCCACCCAAAATGGATTGGCTGCTGTTCAAAATGCATTTCCATCAGAAGGAAAGAACACAGTAAAGAAATCTCACTCCCACCCCTCACTCCTGATTACAGCAGAAATGACAGAAGTTTACTTGTAGCAAAAAGCAAGCAGAGCTGCCCTGCTGCTGACCTGCAGCTTCTCTTCTGTCGCTCCCCTTGCAGAACCCATTAGCAGATCAGTTGCTTTTTTTTTTTTTTTTAAATATCCTTCCTGTTTGCACTGCTGTAAACCCCATTTATGGTTTCGACACTTTCTCCATGGAAACACAGCTAGACTCCACCCTTCTCCTAGAGAGAGCTGACTGATGACCTGCTCAGTGAGACTCACTACACGGTCATTTCGGAACAGGCCAACTCTCGCTCTCATGAGTTTTATCAGTACCACAACTCTCTGGACATACGTACGTCACACAAATACTTGGTAAAACAATCCTCGAGTTAGTACCCAAGTTTAGTTCTGCCCAAGACTAGGTTCAGCACAGAATAGTTATGTTTAGTCTTTGCCCAAGCCGTGAGCTAGTAAAAGGGCCACGATGACTGAGGTCAGTCCATACACAGGACTACCTGCCCTGGTGTGAAATTCTGCTGCTGCTCCACTCTCTGAAGGACAGAGAGAGACAAAAAGGGGACTCTGCATGTAAACAGGTGTCAGTTCTCCTGCCTGGCCACGCTCTGCATCTCATCACTTGTCCTGTTGTCCTGTTAAATTTCTAACTGTCCTCCTGTGTAAGGACCTCTATTCCAGGTGGATGTGGGAGGGTCTGAGTGCCAACAAGTGGCATCAGAGCAAGGGTTGCAGGGAGCCAGGCATCTGTGGTGCCAGCAGTGGAGCACCCGCGTGGGTGTGAGTGTGTGAGCACTAGCCAAGCGTGAGCTGGACTAGCTGGCAAGCAGGTGAAGTGGTCTGGGAGGACTCACTACAGAACTGTATGGCCACCTCAGGGACGAAGAGAGCTGTGTGAGCATCGTGTGAGACATGCTGTGCCAGCAACTAGAGTGGAAATGAGGCCTCGGGAGTTTGTACATCCAGATGCCAGCAATAGGGAGACTGGGATACAGGGGTAGCTACCTGGGCAGAGTGAGTGTCGGAGCCCCGCTGCTGCAGGGATCCACACTGGAATTTTATTTCCATTACTGAAATGTATATTATTTGATGTTATAATAATATAAAGTTTGCAAGATTTTTAATCCAATACTGGAAAAAAAATCTATTTTTATGTATATATTACTCTATTTATATATATTCCAATAATGGACTTCCCTGTGATCCGCCAGAACTGGGTACAGGATGAGGCCACCAGTGCTGTTCATTTGAATGTCGACTGCCTCTGTCTGTGCTGATCTGTGTGGCCACCTGCACATACACCGCATGCACACACTGTACGTGTGTCATGTGTGCAAGCCAGGAAATGCACTCTCAGCCTCACTACTGGGGGCACATAGCTGTGGCACCCTTACTATTGTATCTGGCTCCCCCTAGCATTTAATTTCTCTGCGGCCAGCCTTACTGTTTCTCCTCATACCAAAGAATCCTTAAATCTTCAAGTAATCCCACTGAGTAAGTTGCTGAAAGCATCCTAATAACATCACACAGGACATATTTCAGTGCAAGGATGGGCAGCACCGTGGCGATTTACTTAAAATCTAGGTAAGCCAAACCTCAGAATCTTCCTCTCACATTTTTCTGTCTTTTGTTATCACAACCTTCATTGCACCCCTCTGAGGGGAAAGAAGGTAGAGGTAGATTTAAATTTGCCTCAGAAATAAAATATCTATTCAGATCGTAGTCATACTAATGGTTTCAGGAAGAAACCCTCCACTTCCAGCATTCCTCGTGCAAGTCCTTCTTTTCTGTTACTTTATTTTACTTAACAGTACTGTATAAGCCTGGTGGTAGACAGCAAAGGATGCATGAAGGCAGGCTCTGAGGCAGAGGATGCTCTTCCTGAGCTGGGGGAGAGCGTGTCTGCGCCACTCTACCCACTGCTCCTGACCTGTAGGCAGACCCAGGTTCCTCCCACAACAGATTTGGGTGAGTTTCTTTTCGGAACTCCAGTCTAGAGTTCATAAGCCACAGTGTTTTCACAGGCACGCTCCCCATGACTGCACCAGCCCTCCCAACCAGAATGTAGCCATGCAGTGCTTGCCTTCAGCCTCCCGACACATGAGAAAGGAGGCGAGGCATCCCGAGAAGCCTGACATACTACAGCTGCCGAGGCAGGCTGCGGTCTCTCCCATCAGAGGCAGATGACAGCTCACTTATTTGAACGCAGACAAAGAGAAGCCTGCCACGGAGCAGTCCCTGCAGGACTAGAGGGAGGAAACAGCTGTCAACTGTTTCTTGGATTACAGGGATAAACATATTTCCAGAGACAGCTTTAGGCAATGTAACTCTAAAATCCTGAATACAATTCAAGGTATTCTTGTACCAGGAGAGGGGTCAAACTAGAAGGCTTTTATAGTTGAAAGCTTAAATCTTCTCTGAAACAAGAAATGCATCTTCTGGCATTGTTACAGAACTCGGTAAGAGCCAAAATAAACAACAGCATCACTTTTTGAGAGAGAATACAGAGGATGCTGGAGGTTTATTGAGTTTTGCTTTATCTGGGAAAGAAACCAGAAGACACTGCCTGCCTTTGTTAAGACCCTGAATGGGTGCCTTAATACAAATTTCAGCCTCATTGAGCAGGATAAAAATTAACTATCCAAAAGGAACTATAGGAGGAAAAAAGGAAGAATGAAGCAGCTCCACAGAGATGAAGACTAAGCCCGGAGGAGAGAATTAACTTTCTTGAAGTACTAGTTTTCTCATTTTGGTACTTTGAATGATCCTGCTACAAAGGAAATGAAGAAGTGTTTTACAGAACAAAGGAGGATGTAGCTTAATTTTCCCAGCAAGTCATTCAATCCCGTGGATAAGAAAATAGCAACAAGATTGCTCAAAACTGGCAAGTTGTGTGTGGAAACAGTGCCTTGTAGAAAACAAGTGGGATGCAGAAAAATCAATCATTATATAATTTATGGAAGGATTCTTATGTTTTGTTTCCAGCTCTCTAAGTGGGAATTGTGTGACTCTAACCTTGGGGGAAGGAGCATAGGCCATCAACACAATCGAGAAGGAAGAAGTAAGCTCAGCCAGTGAGTCATAGCCACTCTGCAAACTTTGCCATGTGTTTTCCCATGCTGCTCTGAACCCTTGCCTCAGACTCTTGCAATGGACAGAATGCCAAATATGAGTAGATCAAATCATATTTTTCCACCCCGGATTTCTTTTTCAACATGAAAAAGTACCCATTAGGGCCTAGAGTTGGCACATGCACAGGAACCAAGCAGTGTCTCTGGGCCTACAGCTCACTCACTAGCATTTTTTAGGTCCTTTGAACAGGGCCCCCAGCCTGCAGAAACAAGCTTCTGTCTCCCCCAGGCTGGGCTGGAAATTCCAGGGGTAGGTGGGAATAAAGGAAGCAAATGGTCACTTTTAATACATCCCACCTGCTGTCTCAGCAGGCCAAGGCAAGAGCCCTGCCTGCTGCAGGAGGGAAAAGCCT